CCACTGTACCCAGCCGAATTTTAGAGTTTTTGATCCATCCTAAAGGGGCTACCTGATTTTTATCATCCAGCCATTTGAAATCTCTTTTGAGGTTGGTTTCTCTCCGAATAATCCTCCATTGCTCATCAGTCAGAAATTACATAGCCTGGGCCGGGCGTGGTGTCTCACACCTGGAATCCCAGCACTTTGGGAGGCCAAGGCGGGTGGATCACCTGAGGTTAGGAGTTTGAGACCAGCCTGGCCAACATGGTGAAACCCCGCATCTACTAAAAATACAAAAAGTAGCTGGGCGTGGTGGCACATGCTGGTAATCCCAGCTACTCAGGAGGCTGAGGCAGGAGAATCACTTGAATCCTGGAGACAGAGGTTACAGTGAGCTGAGATTGCACCACTGTACTCCAGCCTGGGCAACAGAGTAAAACTCTGTCTCAAAAAAAAAAAAAAAGAATTTACATAGGCTGACATTTATGGAGACAAAAGTAGATTAGTGGTTACCTGGGGCTGGGGGTAGATGGGGATTAACTATAAATGAGATAAGGGATCTTATTGGGGAGGATGAAAGGAATTTATGGTGAGAGATGTAACACTCTGTAAAGTTATTAAAAATCTTTGAATTATACACTTGAAATAGGTGAATTTTATGGTATGTAAAATATATCTTAAGTTGTTTTTAGAGAGATAGGTCGGGATTCCTCATGAATACAGAAAGCCTAGAATATTATTAAACTTTCCTTTTAAAACTAGATGAGATGGGAGTTCAGAATCATCAGCGCTGCGAGTGCCCTTAAAATGCTTCTGGTCTATCCTCCCATTTTATATAGAGAAAAACTAAGGCCCATAGAGGTTAGGAAGTTAAGTAACCTTTCTGAGATTGTGTAAGGGGATTGTATTGCTGGAGCCTCCTTTCAGGCTTCCCTGCACCATTCCAGCAACCCTGACGACCCCGGTGCAAAGAATCTTCCTCTAGACTCATGGAAAAATATAAGCACCTTCACAGTGTTCACTTATGAATATGACAATTGAAACACCCAAGACTGCTCAGTGTGCGTTTTCAGGTTAGTGGATCTGTGCTGTCTAATGCGGTGGCATTAGGCAGCTACCAGCCATGTGTAGCTACTGCATGTGACTATCCAAATTAGTACATGCTCTAGCTGTAAAATAAACACAGATTTTGAGTACTTGGTATGAAGAATGTAAACTCGTTAGTAATTTCTATACTGATTACATATTGAAATATTTTAGATATATTGGATTAAATGAAATATAGTAACATAAAATGAGATGTGAATTCTGTATACCTTCAAACTGTCACTTTGCCAGACTTTAAAACTGCCTCATTGTGTTAACTTTTACAGGTGTGAAAAGAATGATCCCTAAAAGTTCAATCATAATTGTTATCTAATAACTATTTTAATTCATTGTGAACATACGCATATTCTTATAACTGATAAAATAGGAAACTTGAGAGATACTTTGGTCCATTTCCTTGATTGTTCTGATGAAGCCCAAAAAGAGTAAACTGCTTAAGGTAACATGGGGACTTTGTGTCAGAGCATTCAGATGAGGCCTAAGAATGCCCTGCATTCCTTCTAATACAGGGTGATAGATGATTTTTAAAAATGTATAAAGCATCTAAAGGCTGCACCTAGAATAAGACTAAATTAATGATTTTTAAAATTTACATAAAGGCTTTTTTCTTAAACTAGGAAAACCTCTGCATGTTATCTTCAATCAAACTAAGAGACAAGAAACACGTCTCTATTTTGGAAGGGAAATGGATGACTCCTATTCCTTTCATTATTGCTTTGAAAGAAGCTGGACTGAATATCTTTCCTACTAGATACTCTCATTTTTATGTTATTATAAACAATAAGGTAAGAATGAACCTTTCCAAATTTAATGCGGCAGACATTTAAAATGTTAGCAAGTATTAAATGTTATATAATATTATATAACTGTTTTATATATTCACTTATACAGTATTATACTTAGAAATAGATGAAAAGACCAGAAATCCAGGGTTCTCTTAAGTTTAATAATTTTCCCTAAGCAAATAAGGCTGTAGTATGATCTTCATATTGACAAATGGAACATATCCACAGGTGATCAGTTTAATGCAAAGGTAGTTTAAGCAATTCTCATTCTGTATACTTTTTTTCCATTACTGGATATTATGTAAGATTTCTTAAAAGAGTAAATAACTCTGCACTTTCCCAAACATGGTAAGTTAGGCAAAATTAAAAATACAAGGTCCACTAATGTACAAAGCCCACTTCCTTTAGTTTTTTGGCAGAGCCTCCATGTCTATGTACTGGAACTTCATGTTCCTCATAAGGCTTTACTCCAGCAGGATCCTTCCAAGTTAAACTGTGAGCTTCTTGAGGATGGGGCTCATTTCTTAATCAACTTTCATCCTTCTAGCATCTAGCATAGTCCTAGAATATAGTAGATGGTTAGTAAACATTTGTGATATACAAAGACACAAAGTAACTTCTAATCATGAAAAGTATATGTGTAGGCAGAAGAGTTCTATATTCAAGAAGATTAATGAATGTATCAAAAGATGACAATATAAGTAGGTATTTGTATAACATTTAGAAATAAGTGTATATATATATATACGCATAGGAAAAAACCCTTGGTTTTAGTAACTCAAATTGCCTGTTACTCTACAATGTTGAATATAGTGTTCTCTCATGCTTTCAGAATATTCTATGCAAGGAAATATTTTTTTCTGAACACCTACATGCTAGGCACTATTTTAGATGATTAGAATACATCAATGAATGAAACAAAGGTCCTTACCTTTGTTTTCCTTCAGAGTCGAAGGAAAAAAAATTAAAAAATAAATGATTAGTATGTTAAGGTGAAAAGGCTATGGAGAAAAGAAAAGGTAGATCAGGAATAATGGGGTTGAGGCCGTATGACACCCATGTTAAATAGGTGTCAGGGAGGGCAGCTCTGTGAGAGAGAACACTTGAGCGAAACTCACAGGTGGGGACTTTAGCCACATGCATATCTGGGGAAGCAGCTTCCAGGTAAACAACTGGAGCAAGAGCCCCACGGGAGTGGCCTGGTGTGCTAGAGGTTTGGAGGAACAGCAAGGAAGCCATGGGGCTGGAACTGAGAGAACAAAGGGAGAAGAAAAAGAGATCAGCAGTCAGGAGTAGGGATGCCAGAGGGCCTTGCAAGTCGTTAACTTTGGATTCTATTCTCAGAGAAAGGGGAAGCTATTGCCCAGTGCTGAGAGGAGTCATGCACTCTGACTTAAAATTGTAAGTGGATCCTTCTGTGTTGAGAATAGATCAAAGGAGGCCAAAGATGGAGGTAGACTTGGAAGGCTCAAAGATCAATTCTATTTGTTTATATATTGACAGGTTCCTTTGGTAGAAGTGAAAGCTTATCGACAGATGGCCCTACTAAGTTCTGCTTTTGCATTTGGTTGGAGCAAGTGGAACCTACTATGTAATTCTACAAAAGTTGTATTTAAGGTATAATATGTAAAAACCCATAAAACTACTTTGTCCTCCAAAAGAAGATAAAGTACTCAAAGACTAAATGAATGTAGACTATGGCTTCCCCTCTTAGAAAGGTTAAAAAAAAAAATTAACATTCAATATGGCGTTTTAAAATTTCAAGATTTTTTTTGGTCAAAAATATAAATCCAAACTATATAAAGTTTATGCCTTTGTTGCCCATTATGGTATCAATAATGGACTTCAAACCAGGCCAGAGTCTTTGTATCTCTGCAAATTGACTCCAGAACAAATGGAAGCCTTGCTGGGTGCAGTGGCTCACACCTGTAATCCAGCCACTTGGGAAACTGAGGTGGAAGGATCGCTTGAACCCGGGAGTTTGAGGCTGAAGTGAGCTATGATCACACCAACTGTACCCGAGCCTGCACAACAGAGTGAGGCCCCCATCTCTTAAAAAAAAAAAAAAAAAAAAAAAACAAAAAGAAGCTTTTAACATGAATATGTCTGTGACTTGTAAGCCCTCTCCTCTGAGAAGGTTAGTCCTCCAACTTAACTTTCTGATGCCTTATCAGATAGTAGTAAGTATATCTTATCAAATTCCAAAAGCTGACTGATGAATGCTTTGGCCTAAACAACCAACCATATTTGTTTTTCTTGTTTGTTGTGTTTCCCCCACTCAAAACTCCTTGAGGGCAGGGCTTTTTTGTTGCGGTTGTTATTTATATATGCTGTACGTCTATATTTTTTCTGTGTTTTCTTTCCCTGTTACATCACCAGAACTTAGAACAGTACCTCACACATGACAGGCACTAAATATTTGTTGCATGAATTAATACAGGTGGATAAGCTCCATAATCACCAAAATATAGTGTCATGGTTTTTCAATACCCAATAATGGAATACTGTACTTACATTGTTTCTTTTAACCTTTGCAATTTGGGGGATAAATTGAACCCTTCAATTAATAATCTACTTCCAAAATGTTGAATAGAAGAGGAATTATTAACAAGTTGCTTGAATTTCCTTTATTTTTTTTAGGTGAGGGAACACCTTACTGAAGAATGTACTGAGACTCCTAATTGGGCCATTTTAATGTTTAGTGGTGACAGGGCACAAAGACTTAAGATCACGGAAGACAGTGAGGCATTTTCTGAAGCACTTAAAGAAGAAACTGAGTTTCATTCTACTTTATATCACATGCTGAAGGATTGTGCTTCTAAGGAAGCAATGGAGAAAGTCAGGAGTTCCAACTGTCAGTTTGTCAACTCTGTGTGCCACATGCTGCTCTCTACCAGATTGCTCAGCTATTCCTAACCGCCGCTTACGAACTGTGTTCAGTATGAAGAACGAAGCATGGTGAAAGACACTCAGGTAGTTCTGCAACAGAATGTAATGAGTGAGTTAATCCATTTCAAATAGACTATTAAAATTTTCTAATCAGCATTTTCTATTCATTTTATTTTAAACAAAGTATTTTTTTTCTTTTGAATACTTGGCCTGATGAGAATTTTAACTTTCACTCTATGAAGATTTAAATGATTCTTTATTTCAGTAAAATTTAACAAACAATATATAATATTTCTTCCTTAAAAAGCTCATTCAAAGATCATAGACTTCTTCCCCGTTGTATTTTAGTTGGGGAGATAAAGGCAAAAAGAGGAAATGTAAGCTTTCTTACAGTCATTCTGAGAACCTCTGGTTTCATGCTTTACTTTTCCAGCTAAAAGTTACTAATTTACAAAGTTCAGATACTGAAACTTCAAAATCAAGATCCATTTATTAGGATGTCCTGCTGTTACACTGGTGGTGGCCCATTGTGTCGGAGTCTGGTAAATGGCCACAAGATATGTTCTAGGGACGTCCATGAGTCCTCTTCCTGTGTGGGAGCGGCATCCACAGACTTCTGGAAGAATCGGCCTGTGAGGAAGCTCATCAAAGCTGCAAACAGTACAATGAATGCAAGAGAAAGCCAGACGGCCTTATTAGCCTTTCTGATGGAGGACTTGAGATGTGTTGCCCAGGAAGCTATCGTATCATAACTATAAGGAAAACAAACAGAATTTGGTAATCAGTAATTTGTCATTAGAAACATTCCTTTTGCTAACAACACCAGTCAAGTGATCTGCCTTTCAATCTACATATTATGATTTATCATTTTGGTTTTGGAAACAATCTGCCTTCCACTCTTTGTAGTTATTAGGATTAGAGAAATGATGTGCTATGATGAGAATCTGAAAATTATGTGTTATAGGCATTATCTTCCAGCAAGTACATACAAGTATCTCATTCTTTGAGCAAGGTAAGGCAACATATTCCTACAGTGGAAACAAAAATGTTATTTGCTGGGTAGAGGGGAGTGTATGTGTATGTACTTGTGTATGTATATAATATTCCTCCTTTATTCTTGTGGGTATGCACCACGACCTCCAGTGGATGCCTGAAGCTGAAAATAGTACTAAACCCTATATATACTGTTTTTTCCTACGGATACATGCCTATAATAAAATTGATTTTATGAATTAGGCACAGTAAAGATGAACAATAACATAGAATAATTTATAACAGTATGTTACAGTAAAAGTTATGTGAATGTCATCTGTCTCTCAAAATATTTTACTATATTCACCTATTTTTGGATTGCAAAAGTGAAACCACAGGTAAAGGAGGACTAAAATTTAAACTCCATTTGTTTTAAAAACATCCACCAATAATACGTATTACACCATTTAAGTCTTTGAAAAATAGTTAACCCTGTGCTAGATACTACTAAGATTTTACATTTGCTAATTCATCTAATCATAACACCAACACAATGACATGGGTACTGTTAGCATCTTTATATAGAAATTGTTACACAAAAATAGATGAACTTGCCCAGGTTACACGGCTCGTTAGAGGGCTGGAATTCGAACCTAGGCTGTCTGGTTTTGGAGTCAAGTTCCTATAAACTCTCCTGCCACCTTTGTAACATAGATTCAAGGAAAACTAGACATACTAAATGTGTTATTCATATTAAATGTAGCAATTTGGCATCTCTTTTAGTAATTTGGTTAAGATTAATACTGTCAGCCCTGCCTCATCCTTTCCCATTCTACTAAAATGGTAGAATTTTCAAGTAGATAACTTACACTGAAGAGACATCCCGCCTTGATGGATGATTTTTCTTTTCAGAAAGACTTGGCTTCCTTGTCCTTTCTACTATTTCTTCTCCAGGTGGCTCTGAGTCATCTTTAGTTCTGTAAGTAAATATTGTTTTTAATATTTGAAACTAAGGACATGCTATAATTATTCATGAAATACTGGTAATCTTACTGTAACTCAAGAGGCTTACAAATATTTGTTCTGTTTTGGGGAAACTCAATAAATATCTAACTCTAGAAGTCAAATCACCAAATTTATAATTAAAACATTTATAGAAATTTAATTTAAAAATAGCTTCCTATATTTAGAAAAATAATGTTTGTGTAGAAAGTTTAGCCAAATATATATAAAAAAGGGGAAATTTAAAAAGAACATACAGAAGTTAGTCTCACCGCTCATCATTAACCAATGTTATTACTATGATTTCTTTCTCTGCATATAGATATGGTGTGCATGTTTAACCATACTTTATTAAACATTTTAATCTCAGCACTTTGAGAGGCCAAGGAGGGGGATTCCTCCCCAAGGTTCTCAGGACTCCAGGGATTGCTGGAGCCCTGGAGTTGGAGGCTGCAGTGACCTATGGTTGCACCACTGCACTCCAGCCTAGGCAACAGAGTCAGAATCTGTCTCAAAGAAAACTATATGTATGTGTATCTATTCTACACACCCATGTTTATATATTATTCATATTTATATAATATATATTATATAAATGTGTATACACATGTAATGTGTATACATATATTTTATATAATATGTAAATGTAATACATTTTATATGTGTACATATATAAATGTGTGTGTGCGTGTGTATATATGTATATATACACACACACACCTTTTTAAGAGACAGAGTCTGACTCTGTTGCCTAAGCTGGAGTGCAGTATATATAAATATATGCTATATATACACATATTTATATATATATACTTATATATTTACAAAGTTTATAATATAAAAATGTGTGTATATATTCTGGATGTATATACAGTATATAGTAAATATGTATGTATATGTGTATATATTATATATAAATAGGTATATATATTTCATATATGGATGTGTATATATACCTATGTGTTTGTGTGTATAACAAATGTGGACACCATATTTCTTTTAAATTTTTATTTAAATCTTTTCTCATTATTTTATTCCTTTCTCTGTATGATTTCTAATCAGTGCTCACTTGGACTATCATCAGAGTTCATTTGTTTTCTCTGAAAATCTTAATTTAAAAAGCATTTTTGAAAATATTCTCAATGAAAAGTTAGTTAAATTAATATTCAGTGAACTGGGAAATAGCAAGTGGATTGACTGTATTTGAAATCAAATTATATTATGTAAAGAGGTGTTCTTACACCTAAACAAAACATAATTGTTCCACTATATTTGCTGATGAGTTCCTAGTTGGATTTGAATTTTGAAATCTCAAGCTCTTAATACCCTGAGAATTGTCAAAGAGAAATGTGTCTCAAAGATTTATTTTCATTCAAACATCTGTAGGAAATACATATGATAGACTTTAGTTTTTAAAGAAAACAAGGTCCAAAAGCCAGAATAAATTGCATTTCTGTAAGATTCTCAAGGTTTCAGTCTTTTGTTTACAAAGACTTCCTTAGTAGAAATCATATCATACTAACACAAAGCAAAAACTAGATTATCTTTTGAAAGAGACTCTTGAACTGACTTTTTTTTTTCCAACCAGCTCAAAAAGATTCATTATGTTAATTCTAAATCTGAAAAGACTTTGTAACACATGCAATAGGCTCCCAGAACTTAAAAACTCTGAGGGGTTGCACCATGTTGTGCTCAACTTATCTTTATATTCCTTAGAAGTGAGCAGAGTGTCCATCACATGGTAAGCACTCATGAAAATACATAAAATAAACATAAAATCATTTCCATAAGATCTGTCATTTTAACAGATGTAAAACTGAGACCAAGTAAGCTTAGGCAGTTTTTCCAATGTCACCCAAGGACTCAGAGGTAGCATTTCTGCATATCCTCCTTCTTGCCCTCTACTTTACTCTATAGATTTGTTTCATTTACTATATACAGAGATAGCAATACAGAATTTCATGTTTCCTCTACTCTTCATTTACATAAATGGAAGATAGATGCACATACATGTTATATATCTGCCTGTATGTTATATAATACATGCATTATATATCTCATGTCTTTAAAAATATATAAATAGATGGACATTTTACTTCTGTTGCTCTTTATTGACCTTTCCCCATTATGGACAGACACCTGGACAGGAAAAAAATTACCTTCACAAATATGGCAAATTCCAGGGTCTTTTCTAACGTAAGTCCTCAAACTTTGCCATTCTAAGAGCTACGAGAGTGAATGTATTATTGTGCTTTACAGTTTATAAAAATTTTTTACAGTGAATTATCTTTTTAATGATACAGCATTATTTTATCTCCATGGAGTAAAAGTTATTCCCATTGTTTATGCCCCAGTTTATGTCAGGTTAATAAACACACTGAGCTTCACCTACTTTAGTTCACATTTTTCTTCTTCAGCATCTGCCCAGGAATAGGTGCTAATAAATCGAGGTAATGAGGGACGGTGTTCACTCTGCTTTGACCCCAAAATACGCCTAAATAAAGACGATTATAGCCACTTGTCAAATCAAATACATCTGTAGCCATTATCAGTTTTATTTCCTACTGCTTAAATAAATACAAAATTATATGTCCTATTTTTTTTTCTTGGCACATTCACAGATCATAATAAAAACTTCATAATTATATACCAATTTGTCTAATTATTCTGTTTACACTTTGTACAAATCAAATGTTACTATATCACTTAATTCGAGCACTCATTTAGTTTGGCCCAAGTTTAAAATAGTAAGGTTTCCAAAGAGGAACCATAAAATTACACTTACCAACTGCTTGACCTCCTACTGAATCGGTCATTATTTTCCATCCCAGCCACCTTTAGAAGTTCAAGTGTTAAAAGAAATGATAAAATACACGTTTATATTTTCTATTTTATAATACACTTTTATATTTCATATTTTCATATGAAAATGAATTTCCCCTTGACTAAGAATACTTAGGAATTATCTTACCATTCCTGCAGTTCCAATATTTCTGGGTAAAGAGGCAATAGTCACTCTTCGAAGAGAAGATGGCTAGCAGAAGGAGAAAAACGTACATTTAGATAACTCTCAATAATTCATCATTGTATGCAATACCAGTGAATATCCTTGTACATGCACATCCATGTACTTGACCACTGCTAAGTTAAACAGTAGACATAACTTAAAAGGACCCTCTTGTGGACAAATTGTTTTCCAGAAATATTTTACCAATTTATATTCCACCTAATTCAATGTTGGATTATTATAATTTATGCCAATAAAACAAATATAAGATTCCTTGTTTGGGTTTGCAATTATTTGACTTCTACTATTGAACATTGCTTTTTTATGTTAAATAATCATGTATATATCTTCTCTGGGAACCACCCATTTATGTTTACCATCTTTGTTCTATATTAATTATTGTTTATGTTGTATTTGGCCTATATTGAATCTTCATATTTCTGGCAGAAAACTTTTTATTGTTAATCCAGCCGAATCTATTTGTCTCTTTTGCTACCATTGCTTCTATGCTTAGAAAGATTTCTCCCAACTCAAGAGGAGATAAATATGTACCTACATGTATAGCTTTTTTGTTCATTGTTTCATTTTTTTCCATTTAACACATTTAAGGATTGCCATGTTTTAATGAATGAATGAGTTTCTTGAGATTTTTACAGAAAAACGTTATATAATATTGTGTGGTTCTTTAAGTACATCATAATACAAAATTTTTAAAAATGTAATAAATAAACTAAGGAGGTTGCATGTGAATCTTTTTCTTAAGCCACATCATCCCTACTTTAATTTCATAGATTAGTTGAGCATCAAGAGTATGAAATTGTGGCCCAAGAAACTTGGTTTCTAGTCATGCTCCTACCAATACGTGATCATAACTGATCACTTAACTGCTTTATTTCTCTTCCCTTATCTGTGAAAAAGAGGGATTTGTATGGAATGATTTTAAAGTCACTTATTCAAAAATTCTATATATCTATGTAATCCTGATTTTTACACAGTGGCAAAAACTGCCAGCTGACCTTCAGTGTCACATTCTTCCTTCCTAGTTAATAATAAGCCTCCTGATTTTTAGCTAGGCATACAGCCTCCTAAAAAGAAACTGTACTTTCCAGACTCATATGCAACCAAGAATGGAAAGAGAAATGTTATTTTGGACTTCTAGGGAATGTCTTTACAGGGAGATGGAACACTTGTTGCTTCTCCCTTTTTCTTAGAATGAGATGATGTAATGATGAGGGCGTGGTGCCTGGATCTGAAGTAGACATCTTAGACCCCGAGACAGAAGCCAAGGGCTGACGGAAGTGAGGCAGCAAGAAAGGAGGCTGGTCCTTCAGGGTTGCTGCTGTGCCATTGTTGGGTTACCTGTTTCCAACTTTAGTTTTATACAACAGAGAGAAACCATTATTATACTGACTTTCTTCATACTGCCAGGCACACTTAATTAATACACAAATATAGCAGAAAGCATAAAAGCATACTTAAACAAATATATCTATATGAATTTAAATCACTATTTTGTTATTTACATATAAAGGCCAGAGCTTCAAATAACATTTTAAAACCATCTTGTAAGTATTTGATAGACATTTGTTAAGTGAATTAGTAATTACCTTGGAGTTTAGAGAAGCTGAACGTTTTTTAATTTGGCAGTCATCTGAAAGGAAAAACACATTTACACATTTTAGCTATTGCACATGCAATTTATGTTTAAGCAATGTCTTAATTCTTTAAAGGTAAAGCAAAATTCAGAAAAGATTTATTAAGACTTTAGAGACTACTGAGCAATGTAAGTATCTGTTAATCATTCATTTCATGCTTCGTAACAATTACCATCTTAACCAATGGAATACAGTCCTCCGTCTCTCTGTGGTGTCCACAGTGCCTAGCTAGCACAGGGTAGGCACTACATGAGTGTCTGCTGGAGAAAGGAATCTAAAGTACTGTTCAGGAGAATATCAAATATGGTTACTGTTCTAGAACAGAGAACAGATTCTTGAAATAAGAATTCTCAGAGAAGTTCATATTTATTTTAAATAAAACTATTGTACAATTTTTTTAAGAAACAGTGTTATTCCCCATAGCCTCATATGTTTTTCTGTTTTCCAGTTTATCAATTAGCTTACTGAGCCAGGGCCATTCCTTCCTTGAGGAATCAACTATTGCTGATGAGAGCTCCCATTTAAGTGACTTCTCCTTAAATGGGAGAAATAACTAATGTATTATTAGTTATTTCTAATGTATAGAAATTCTAATGTATCCTCAATAGGGGAACACTAAGATCAACTTCATGAGTTGTATTAAACATATTCTGTCATCTCAGTAATCTAAATTAATAAATTTTGGTGTCATTACCAAAGAATTCTTCATGTCTCCCAACCTGTTTTCTGACACTTCACTTTTGGCTATATAAATAACAGGAATTAATTATATTTCTAATATAACCTTAACCCAAGAGTCTTATTGTACTAGTCATAATAAGACAGAGAACAAGAAAGAGGAGAATGTAAAAAAACATAACTAATACTATTAAACTTTTATTACCTTCATCTTCAAGAGGATTGAAAGACCGTTCATTCTGCAGAAGGACTTGTTTCAGTTCCTCTAATTCAGCATGCTCTTTGGCATACATCCTCTTCAAGTTTTCTACATGCTGAATCATCACTTCAACTGCTTTACTAACCCGGCTTTCCTAGCAAAAGAAAAATGAGCACATTTATATTGAAAATACTATTCTCAATTCTCAACTAAAAGATGGTAATTAAACACACTTACCTTCATTCCATTCCTAAATCCCACTACAATGGCAATAAATGGTTTAATAAAACAAAGACATGCATCTACAAGGGCAAACAGAAGAAAATATGACAACAAGACTTTGAAAGCTGGATAGAAGGACTAGTGGCAAATGACTATGAGGTAGAAAAGCTGAACCCTAAAAAAGGCAGTAAGAAAAGCCTAGACGCTTCCTAGGTTGCACCTCAGTAAGGTTGAAGGTGGGTATGTGAACAAAAGAAATGGTTGAAAGTCTATGTTAAAAAAAAAAAAAAAAAAAATTAGATCCAGAGATCCTCTCCGTACTCTGGCCAGCAGAGCAATTTTCCCTCCACTATTTTGGTGAAAGACTATATGCAGTTGGCTATCTAGAGAGAGTTAACTTGAGGTTCCACAGATTGGGAAACAACAGTTGATGATGGATCTATCATGCTGAAAACAACAGATTTAAGCAAAAATCTATATTCATATTGAATGTTAAGATCCAGCCTTATTCCTCCTCCTTCCAGCTTCCAAACACTGGCAGCCGGAGTTACACCCTCAAGGCAGGCAGTTGGAAGATTTTTCTGTGGTGATTCTAACATACTAAGATAAAAGTCCTATAACTGCTGACATTGGGAGTACCCCCAGTGAAACATTTTGAATGTTCATAGTGCTATGAATATTTGTGTACAAGTATCTGAGTGCCTGTTTTCAATTCTTTTGGGTGT